GATGAGCTTACTGATTAAAAATATCCTAAATTGAATAAGATTTATTCGATATTTTGGCTAAATTCTTCTTATTCGTAATTTTTTTCGTTATTATCCACGTTGAAATGTGGCAATATGCTGTTTTATTTTTACAATTTCTTGATAATTATATGTAGAATGTAGACAAATTATTTCAGTCTTCATAAAAGTTCTTCCTAAATATGTAAAGAATTATTTGCACCAATTTTCATTAAATTCTTATTATTTTTAATACACTTTCGAAAGTTACATTACAGGTGTTTTAACATTTTTGCTATGTCGCCTGTGTATAAGAGAGAGATAAGAGTTAATTTTCAGTAATTAATTACTCGACAACAATGCAGACAATTGTCTTCAACTTTAGCATAAACGTCAAATTCCCATATAGACGAATATCCTCCATAATTTTGAACTAATTCTTATCATTCTGATTTGAACAACTAATCTCCTTAAATCGATACATTCTTGCACGTTATAAGTGCCCACTCGGCATGTTATGTTGCTAAAATATTGAAATATTTCGTTAACATTTTATTTGTAACTATGCATTTAAAATAGCAACAAATTAATAAATGGCAATACGAGTCAGGCGCGGTACGTGGTGCGCAAATAAAGAAATTAATAGTTACAGAAGTGACGAATTACAATGTATATAATATTCCAACTTATAGCAATCATTTTACGTTCCTAATTCAATCATTTTATAATGTATTTATATTAAGACGATAAGTAATACTATATACAAATAATAATTTTAAAGCATCAGTTGTTGCAATATTCAACATTTGACACTGTTGCAACATTAATATGTATGTAGAAGAGAATAATAAATAAAAAATAATGTATATGTAAAAGTAGAATACTATATAATACAGAAATAATAAAAGAAAGAAACAGTAATGTGCAATCTAATTGTGCTTTAACTTCGACTTTAGTTACTTATGTTACATTGCTACTATTACTACTAGTTCTCATTGGTACGTATACATAATTCTGCACATTTGATTTTTTTTTTACATTTTACATTTACATCTGATTTCTCTAAAAACAAATAATGGCGTCTTGTTTTAGAATTTATCTACTTTGCAAAAATAAAAGTACGATAAGCCGACCGAAAAATAAATAAATTTTTCTTGTAAAAAAACTTGGCGCTGCTAGACTTCGAAATTTAAACATTAAAATTTAAAAATGAGTACTAAGATTTTTGATTAAATAAAAAAACAATAAACATAATTTAGGGAAGAATGCGACAGAAGTAAAAAAGCAGCGCCAAGTTTCTTTAGAAAAGAAATTTATTTATTTTGTTTTAATTAAATATTTTTATTTTGTACTGTTAGTTCTTTAATTCTTTCTAATTAAAATAATTCTTTGTAATATTAAAAATTTGTTAAAGAGAATTAAGAAGCTATTACCACTTGGGTTGGAATATGAAGACCCTTAAATAGGAACATAAAGATACCATTTGGGTTTTATTTTTTTAAAGTAGTTGCACAACCATTATCTTTCAAAGCAATATACATATTTTCTTTACAAATGGTGCAATTTAATTTAAAGATTTCACATCTTTTTTTGAAATACATGTCACTTGAGTTAAGTTAGGTAATATAATTTTGTGAATGAAAAATAAAGCTACCACTTAAATTGGATTTTTGAATTTATTAAAATACATTGCGTGTACTTGGCGGTTTTTTTACCTTTCTTGAAAAATTAATTTTACGAAGTCATTAGAGCTTCGTCTCAGATAGATCTGGCATCGCAAAAATTTCAGCTGAGAGACGTGCCTCTTGAGGACTATAAGTGTATCCCACGAATGCTTGCGGTGAAATGAAAATACGCCTGCGTGGTTTTCTTGCGAGTAGCTCAATTTCATGAGAAAAACACATCTGTCGAGATACCTTTAGCGGTAAATCGATAACATTAATATTCGCAATTTGCTGAGAAATTGATAGAATTAAGGGCATTTGGATCTTCTGGCAAACTTTTACGCAATCAACATTATAGACATAAATTATGAAATTTGCGTTGAAATTTATATCAGAAAATATAAGATGTGAAATATTCAATCGACCAGTGAAAAGAGTAGGGGAACGCATACTCACTGATGTCTCCAGTCTTTGCAGTAATACTTAGAAGCTCACAGAAAAATGATACATCTAGGAGCTCGATATTACAGTCTCAATAGACTTCTATTGCTTGCTGTTGGTTTATGGCCTTATCAGCAATCCAAATTTGCTCAATTTCAGTTTATCTTTTTCTCTGCTACTCTGTCAGCAGGTATTATATTTCAGGTAAGATAAGAATATTGTAACGTTATTATAAAATCAATTTTTTTACTGTGTGACAATCTTTTACCTCTGAATAATTTATTTTAATCTATATTTTGCAATTTGATTTTTGTACCAAATTAAAATACTACAAGATGCGCTATGCGCGCGCAATTTATTCTATATGCATGTGCCTGCATCCTGTATTAACACTTTTATGTATAAAATAGTATAAATTAATAGGATAAATAATACAAACAAAATACATAGTGTTTTTATTTAAATAAAAAAATATATAATATAATTGCGCATCGCAAGTTGTATATTTTTCCTTAATTGTAATTAGAGAAATTGTCTTTATATAAAAAATAAACCAAAATAAATTTAACATCATGATATGTATGTGTATACAATTATAATTGGAAATTTACTTTTTCATAAAAATTTATTTATCTTCCTCTGACGTGTTTTGTTGTGATAATATCGTGATATGTGCACAAGATGGAACAACTTCTTGTTTGACAAAAATATGGTCAAAATATTTTTCGCGCGGATAGTTACTCACATTATCTGAAGTAATTAAAGTGAGAGAATCTATCGACGTGTGGATGAACGGCAACGATAAATTTTTAAAATGGACATTTTGTTGCGCATCCGCATAGAGTGTATCAGTTTAAATAGACAGTGTTGCACTGTTGCATATCAAATTATTGATATAATAATAGGCAAAGGCGCATTATCGTATCGTATTATGAAATTAATACGCAACGATCATATGCTGCAAATATGCATCGTAATGATATGACGTAAATATGTAAAAAGTGTATATCTGTTTTTACATACCTTTTTCAAGGATTGATGTATTGTATTATTATTTAATAGTATTAATAGTATTAATAACAGATATTTATACGCAAATTTCTGCAAAACTATCTCTATTTGCAGCTGACACCATTAATAGTATTAAAGTGTACTTCGGACCTTGTTACCAAAGTGTTGTCTTCTGCATCTTTCTTTACAACGTTTATAATAACATATAACGCATTCCGTCTTAACATTGAAGTTGTAAGTTAATGGCTTACAGAGCATCCGTTAAATAGGATTAACTTGTCTGCTAAATATATTTTTATAGCAAAAAGTATTTTAATATTTACAACAATAGTAATACAGAAAGATAATAAAAATTGGCAGGTGAAAAAGTTATTGATGGAGCTTCAACATATACTGAACGAATTAAGGGATAAAAACGAAATTGCTATTGCAGAAAAATATAGTTGTATCGCTAATCGTTACACGATTGCGCTTGCGGGTAGGGCAATGTTTGTTGATTTTTGCATGTAATTATATTTTCGATTTAATATCTCACAATAAACTGTCAAGTGGAGTAAAATCGATTTTAGCATATTATAATTTTCATACATATATATACTGCATTTATATATGATTTATTTTATTGCATTGGCCTATTAAAGCATTAATGTCACGTATTTACATTAAATGGCAAATGTGCTTATAAATTGAATAAAATAGAAAAATAGCTATTAATTTTGCAATAAAATTTGATTTTATTAAAAGATATATTTTATATCGTACACACATGTGTACGGTATACATAAAATAATTTTATAATATTACTCCTTATTTATAATATTACATCCTACAAATTTAAATAACAATTTATTTACGCTTTTTAGCACTTGGAGTTTGTGGAATATTTGTTAGTATTATAGTTCAATTTTGGTCGAATTTGATTAATGTTGATGTACCGATGAATATATCTCACCAACGGTCACGTCATTTATTTATTATAACAGAGTATTTTGTCGATCAAGAGAAGTATTTCTATTTGATTTTGTTCCATGTGTACGTAGTTTTTTCCATCGGAGCAACTGTAATGGTAGGAATAGGTGCAATGCTTATTACGTATTTTCAACATACCTGTGGAATGTTTAGAATTGCTAGGTAGGAATATAGACGTAAAAATTACCATAACATATAACGGTCCAATAATAATTAGGACTGTTATACAAGTTACATACAAAAGTGTTATCTTTATATGTATAACATGGTAAAAAATTTTTTGGTAAAAGTTTGTTTTTAGCTGAAGATTTGTGTCTTTTAATAAATTGCTATATAATTGCGACATAACATTTGTAGCTATCGTATTGAACATGCAATGAGTATCGACATTTTACAAAATATTACGCTAAAAAATAAGATTCTGATGATCGAGGGCATAATTTATGCGGTCAACATTCATCGGCAAGCTATGAAGTTTGTATTTACGTCGATAATATTCATGCAATACGTTTAATAATATTTTTTTGTTTTGGAAGACTGTCTAAGCATTTGTTGTACGCATTCGAGATACTGATGTTTTGCTTAATAACGTGTGGAGTGGTTTGTGTGAGCATCAACCTATTTCAAGTATGTTTTTGAATTTGTATAATAATGTATGAGAGCTATCCCGAAGTTATTCATATTAATAATAATACTGTCCAATAAATGTGTCAAGAATTTGATTCCAAAAGTTTTTCAGATTGCATCATCTGATGGAAATAATGTTGAGGAATTCTTATTTTCGTTTTTTCTTGTATTTGCTTGTGTCACGTATATGTTTATAGCCAACTATATCGGGCAGATTATATCGGATCATAATAATCACGTATTTTCTACTGCGTAAAGAACATTTCATGAAATAAAATATGTGAAAGTTTATCTTTTAAGAGTGGTTTCATTAAAATAAAAATTAATTAATATTACTGTAAAATAAATCGGCGTAAACACTGAAGTTAACTAATAGAGATCTGTCTCAATTTGTCATTCGTTATGCATATACAATTTTATAGGTACAATGCGCAGTGGTATAGAGCTCCAATACACATACAGAAGATGATATTGTTCCTGTTACAAAGACAAACCAAGGAGTTTACTTTGAGTGTTGGTAAATTATTTCATGCATCTATGGAATGTTTTGCTACGGTAAGATGATATAAAATATCTCAAAAAAGTATCATATTAAAAATAAATGTTTTTAAAGGAAACATTTTTAATTATAGCTGGTTAAGACTTCGGTATCTTACTTTACCGTCATATATTCTACACGATAACGAAGCAAGTATGAATTTAATAACAGCATGGTGAGAATATAGCTAATGAAAAAGCAATAGTATTCATGCTTAGAAAATAGAAATATTAATTGTTAGATAAAAATATTAATTTGTTAAAAATGCGCAGATATATATATATTATATATATATATATATATATATATATATATATGTAAAGTTGTTAATAAAAATATAAAAGATAAAAATTATACAAATCAAGGTATTATTACATCAAGTTTCTGCGATGCATTGAAATCGTTTATTTTTAAAGTGTATGTTGAATAAAAAAAAACAAAAAGGTATATATATTTCTTTTACTTTGCTTCCAAATACGATTTTTATGCGCAATTTTCTATTAAACATTAGCTATTTATACTCTTATATATTTTATTTGGTATCAACGATTACATATAAATATGTTAGAATTGTCGATAATAAATATGTGTATAGTAAAAAACAAAAAAAGAACAAGAATATGACTTGTAGTAGATGATACAGAAAACCAGATAGAAATGACATTTCGGTATTTAATATATTGGTTAAAAAAATTTTCGCCATTTCTAAATTATAACTTGAAGTTGGAGAATATGTCTGTTAGAGAGCAAGTGTATCCTATGAGTGCGCGTACTGGAATGAAGTTTCGGCGCTGAAAAGAAGAAAATGCGCCTGCGTGAATTTTCTGTGAATAGGTAGATCAATTTCATGGGAAAGACACATCCGTCAAATTGCTTTCAGCGGTAACTCGGTCGCGAATATATTCGTTCTTATGAGAAATTTATTCAACTGTGCGTGTTCTAGCGGACTCGCACAAGTCGTACAAATGTACGTTATGGTAAATTAGATTATTTGTATTGAAATATGTGCCAGAAGATAAAATATATGGAATATTTAATCGATTACTTTCCAAAAG